ATTTGAAATTACCTCTTGCAGCAGTGGTCAACTACGACCGAGATCGCCACACACCCTCGCAGACGAGGCAATCTCCTTCGACTCAATAAACGAAGTCACCAACTCACCGTCGCCGTGGAATGTGGCTACCGTCACCGTCGTCGAAGCTTCGATTTATGACGAAGCCAGGTTAGGGCTCACCAATACACTCTCGCTCTCTCAGGACTGTTGGATTTCAAAGAAGGGGGGTGTCATGTGAAGATGGGGCTTCGCGGGAACACAATAACGCCTTCACTAAAAGGGAAGGGTGTTTTCGTCAACACACTTTTAATTTTTTTTTTAAACCTTTTAGTCATACTTGACAACAAAAAAATGATCGTGGCAGTTTTGATTTTTACCCATAACCTTTGTGGCAACAACATTACTTAACCCTTATCTCAATGTACATCATCTAAATTTGGAACTTAGTCATGCCAACTAAAATTAATTTTTCAATAACATCTTTCTATGGGAAACAATAACATAGTAATAAATATTAACATAACAGCCAGCATTAATACCAATTGCCCTCATTATGCAGATTATGAAATGCACTAAGAAGTGAATAGTTAGTGATAAAAAGCTCGAATTCAAACAAAGGGACTCGAAGTCCAAAAAATCCAAAAAGAAACATATGCGCATCCAAAAAAAAAGGAGTTACAGAAGCAATGATGTGTGAAATAAACTAGAGCATTCCCACTTTGCTATTATGTCTTCCTTTAGGAGCCCTTTCGACCCTCCTCACAAGTGACTTTGTCCTCGGATTCGTCCAAGATCCTTTAGATGAATCTTCTTCCCCCTATCCTCGACACGCCTTTGCGGAAGCTTAATGGCCTCTTCTAGTGAATACTTGCTCACGTTCTTCGCATAGTATAGCATGTCCATGACCAGTTCCTTTCGAAACTGACTCAACGTGACCTGTTATACATTTTAGGAATATAAGACTTCAAACATCATCATGCCACTTAACAGCCGGTAGGGAGTTATTCTCAAACAAAGATTTTTGAGGTAACCTTAAAAAAATTATGACTTAATAACATATACAACTACAAGGACATTGCTTACATTATCCCACAGTAGAACTTGTCTTCTGCATTTGTAAAGAAAAATAAATATATTTTTTTGTGCATTAATTTATTTAACAGAATATAATACTCGTGCAAAAGGTAACTCAGATTTATCGCCTTTCGTCCATCTAGGTTTCTAGGTCTACCACACTTTCGACGTGTGTGTAATTTGGGTTCTTTAACAGTTTTGAACCATGCCATTTAATCTGAATATATACCAACTGCGAGTTATGTGGTAAAAAAAAATCAATCCATGCACAATATCCTTTTAACAGGTACATATACATGTAAACAACATTCCTTTGTTCTCAACAATAACTTCCACCTAACATTTCATTAGTTTCCAAAACACAGCTACATGATAAAGAAAACTGTTAAATTTTTGCCCATGGATTTAATCTTATCAACTAATAGAAACTCTTTCAAAAGGTAATGGCATAAAATTTTTTATTTGACTCAAATTGATGCATTAACCTTATATCTGGGCATTTACAGTCGTCAATTCAAGTATAGCTTGTTCTACTCAAAGAGAAAATCAGTTCTTGAACAAAATTAGAATACATAGGCTAGGAATCTTACTAAAATTCAGTACAAACATACATTTAATACTTATTTATTTATTTTTTGAAGTTAAGCTACTCAAATATTGAGAACAAAGCCTGCTACAGTTTTAAAGAAATGGCTCAGGTAAGGGATAACATATGAGTACGCAGAAAAGATCAAAAGTACTAAAAAAAAAAAAAAAAAAAACAGGGGTGATGAAATCGTTGATCTCAGTGGATAAAAAAATAAGTTGCTAACAAAAAAGGTTGCAATGACCAGTAGGCCGTTTTTAATTTTTCACAATCTCTTGCTACTCTCCCAATTACTTTCTCTAAATCCATTAAACAACCAAACCAAAGCTCCAGTTCATCCACGAAAAGAATCATCCCACCAAAGGAGCGAGAGATTTTATTACACTGATATAACCCATAAAGAAATGGTGGAAATAGAAATTAACATCGATGAAAGAAGGGTTTAGGAGGCGAGAAATTGAAGAAAAAAGTTGGGATACAACATACCTTGATGATCGAGTTTGCAGAACGGAAGAAAGGCGCCGTGTAGAGTCCCCAAATTTCACAAATTGTGAATCTTTACTGTATTAGGGTTCCTTCATCCACCTTTCCCTTTTTTTTTCCCTCAACTCTGTTTGTGAATGTGTTGGATTGTTTTGTTTAGATGATCCAGGATTTGAATTGGTTGAGATGTAAATTGTTGGTGAAATTGAATTCATTATTTGATAGAAAGGGTTTGATTGAGAAATTTGGAGATTTGATTTGAAGATGTTAATTGAAAGGAATTTGAAATTTTTATTAAATGCATATAAATGTATATTGGAGTTACAAAATTACTGTGGAATTGAATTGAAGATGTTAATTGAGAGTTGTTACACACGCACTCTGTTGAGAGTGTTGAGAGTGTTATAGATAACCATTGTGTCATTATTGTATATACTAAGCTGGCTACGTAGTATAACTGTATTAAAAATAGAAAATGAAACCCTACTTTCTTATTAACTTGATCATTATCCTAATACATTTATACGCAGGCACTTTTATCTTGTGTTTCCCATCCTTCTTTGCAGCCTTTCATTTGAGACTCATCAGCTATCTCTTCCATCAACCATTTTTAGTTTGTCTTTGTATGAGAAGTTGTTTTTACTGTAGTATGTAGAGCTAGTGGACAATTTGGGAGGAACATCACTGGTGGTTCTCGTTTACAGCGACCAAAGTGATGATAATAATAAGGACGATGTTATTTATTATTTGTTGAATTTTTGTTGGGTGAGTGTAGAAATTAGCATATAATGATGTAGCCGTTTTCCTTTACAAAGTCTATTCGTGTGTTTTATAGATTTTTAACAAAATTGATAACGAAGCCAACAAATCCATTTTAATAGTTCTAATGATTTAGGAGCGGAATCCAACTCCTCAAAAAGATCTCATTTTATAAACCAACTTAATGTCAAAATAAAGTAAAAATTGATAGAAATGTAGTAGGGTACATAATTATAAAAGTAGAGTAAGTGCATTGAATTCTTACAACACTTTTATTACCCAATAACTTATTTCATAATAAAGACTTTTCACATAATTTAAAAGGGTCATATAACTTGAAGAACAATCTTTCTCAAAAATTCGAAGAATCGTTTTACAGTAAAAAAAATCTAAAGAACTTATATGCTTGAATTGTAAAGTACAAAGAATGTAAATAACTTGGAAAAGAAACTTGACAGAAAATGTAAAGGTGGAAGGAATCATACTCAGAAAATAACTTGAAAACAAAATCACTAAGTCACTGGGATATGAAGATGTCTAAGTGTGTTTCTGAACAAATGATTTCAACCTTTGACCCAAAAGGATGCGCTTCTATTTATAGACTACAGCAACCAATGACAACATGCCATCTACTGGACGACTCCTCTTGTAACCGCTCTTTGCCCGCAACTTCTTCGAGATATATCTTTTGAATAAAGCTTTCGATGCTTATCCTTTGATAACTCACCCTCTTTGCAAGGCTCTGGCCCTTGATCTAATCTTCTGTAAGATGCACTCTTGATACGGGGACTGTAATCGATAATATTCTTTACACTTGGATTTGACGCTTGATCTATCACCCTTTTTGACGGCTGGTATCTTGGATGCCAAAATCCTCTATCAAAATCCAATATATTACTGAGTCATGTTTCTCGATTCGAGCTTGTCGAATTTCAAGCAATACTGTGAATCCCATGTTTGAGGATATTGCTGTAGTAGGCTGCCACAATTGCAAGTGAAGACTAATTGTTCACGGATCTGATCTTTATTTGAGATTTTGTGATTGATCATTGTGTTATTGTATATACAAAAGATTCAAACCATTTTTTTTTGTACATTGGGGCCCTAAGGCCAAAGAAAAAAGAGATTAAACAGATCTAGGGAACACAGTCCCAGCAGCATCAGCTAGAAGATTAAGAGCGATCTCCGGAGGAGGATCAGTGAAGAACATGGAATTATTTTCGAATTCTAGAATTAGGTTAGCAAGTCTATCTGCTACTTGATTACCTTCTCTGAGTTGGTGTTTGATGGTTACTCTCCAATCTCTGCTCATCAACTCCTTGATTCTTCTTGAAGGTCTAGCAAGGGTGGGGTGACTGATGAGGAGGGTTCTCTTTTTTTTTTTTTTTTTTTGGTATTGTCTTTCAAACAAAATTTAAAAGGAGTAGGTGGGCGGGATTGGAGCCTAGTTTTTGTGGGTTTTTTTTTTCTCTTAATCTCGGATGGGGATATTTTTCTGGGTCTTGGGTTGGAAATTAGTTTGGTGTATGATGTGGGGATTATGGGCTTATGACGTTTGGCCCAACAAAAAAGCAGTCTAGGTTGGTAAGTGTTTGGAATATACAAGATTAAGGGCCTTATTGGGCCATTTCCGGCAATATTTTGATTTTGTTCAACTAAATATTTCATCAAGTCCAAAAAAAAAGAAAAAAATAATTAGTGCTTGTTTCTTCTTCTCTCATAATCATAACTCGTAAGTTCGTAACTGATAACCACAGTCAACACAGCCTCCCATCCCCCCCAAAGGCGTTAGGCGTCCATATCTCATAGAAGCCATGCCTCATCTTAACCGCCAAATGGACAAATCCACCAAACACGCCACCATATAAAATATTGACGTACAAATCCAAGCAAGAACCAGTTTATTTTAAATTAAATATTTTTAATTATTAACAAAGTTGTTTTAATTATCCTTTAATCTTTTCAGGTAAAAATAGTTTTGTGCCGTGCATCAAAAGCTGATTTAAAGTTTTGTCAGCTATACGGTACAAGTGTGAAGTTTACAACCCCACTTTTAATTAAAAAAGACAAACAACCTTTTATTTTAAAAAAGTCTAATTCCGACCTGCCGGATTTGAACCAGCGACCTAAGGATTGTCTGTAAATTATCCACTACAGTCCTCCGCTCTACCAACTGAGCTAAGGTCGGTTTGTGTGAGTATTTAACAAATAAAATAATGTATTTTAAATTTTCTAATTTTCCATCTTAAGGTCCAAAGTTAAATAATATGAAAGCACCCGTATTCTAGATTGTACCGAACTTTTAGTGTGATTTACAACCTTACATTTAAATGATACATTACATGGAATGGTTAGAAAAAGTAGGGTTTTATTTATGGGCTAATGCTCTAATAAAAAATACAATAAAATCAATCTCTATGTATTTAAATATATATTAATTAATTTTTAATATATATTTTATAAGATATACACCTAATATAATTATATTTTAGTAGTTCTTAAAAAAATTTAACATCTTGATTTCTAAAAGATAATATATGAGTCAAATTAATTGGTCTTTCGATTAATTTTTTATTGATATGTCATCATTAATAAATTTATTTCGTACTTAGTATGAATTTTGAAATGATTTGATAATTAACATAAATAATTATATATAACTATTTAATTTAAAATGAAAAGAACATCTGTGATGAGAAACATGATTAGGATATAATACTACAATAATGAAATGTCATGGATCAGCTTTAATTTGTCTTAACCTATAGCTGATGAGAAACTGTTGAATCCTTAAAGTTATAAAGCTAAGCTAAGCGTTTGACATACATACAGGAGTGGTAATACATGGGCCTCACAATTGTTGTCAGATTAGTCCACTTTGACCTGACAAATGGGTTCGGTTTTTCATAATGCTGAAGGAAAAAATGTTAAAAATTCTGACCTTATATACGGACTAATCTCATCCTCATTATTTATATGTTGTTCCCTTTTTTTAGGGTTGTGGTTTTGTCAACCCTTTCGTATGGTCTTTGTCACATGCAAACTTCAGCCTTTAATTTAACCCCAAATATCCATCTATGATCTGTTGCTCTCCATCTTTGGACTTTTTATGCATGCATGTGAATTGGACCATGTTAATAAAGAGAATTATATATAGTAAAAGAATTAGAGAGAATCCGGATTATTTGTATATATAAACATATAATTAACTATATTTATCATCATTTGCTACTGATCATGTATTCATGTTATACATCATAGTAAATTAGTAACTCTATAATTCCATTTCATATATAAAATATTATTTCTACACCAAATACCGGTGATATTCATATAAAAATGTGGTTGTTATTAATTATATTAATGGTGTATTTAAAATTCCTTTTAACTAATAAAATAAAAAAAACTCGTGGTGATTTATTAGAAATAATGGTGTAAATCAAATATTTTTTTATATAAATATTTGTAAATAGTGAGAGAAAAAAAGGTACCTGTCGATTTCTTTTTTTTTATTTCTTCGGTGATAAGATTATATTTATTCTTTAATATTTTATTTAGGATAATACTATTTGAACAAGTAATTTTAGCCAATTAAGTTATTTATGCCTATGCTAAATAGAATATTATTGTTATGTCAAATAGAATAAAAAATAACACCTAAATAAAGTTCTATTTGACATCGAAATAATTTTCTATTGTTTAGCATAAAATAAATAACTATTAGTTTGTTAAATCAGATAGAATTATTTTTTTATTTATTAATGTTTTAGGTCACTTATTACACTATATATATAATTCCTATTATATACAAATAAAATAAATTCCAAATTTAATTTATATATTAGCTATATCCATATTATACATTAAAGGTATTACAAGTTGCATGATAGCGGACATAATCAATATGCTGGTTATCTAACACAATAATAAAATTCATGAAAGTGGATCCATACTTCAAAATCGTAAGAGACTAAAACAAAAATCAAGCTAACGTATGCATACTCTAAGTTCCACCACAAGTTTTAATTTTTTTTTCCCCGGAATCAATCGCATAATTAATTATTCCTCGCACAAATGTGTGATGATGATGGTGGTGGCAGAGTAAATAAATAAATAAATAAACTAATTAAGATATATACGTAGGCTAGGCATATACTATTCATGAATCGAATATATATATAGTTGATCCACCGAATACAAGGAATATGAAATTCATGATTATCATGATGATGCAAGTATTTCATGAAGTCAATGATTGATTGCGTTATTATGTGGTGAGTATGTAGAAGGATCAGTTTGTCCTTGCTTGATTATATTGGTTCACGGGAAAACCTTGAACTAACAAACCCCCTCCCAATAACAAGAAAAATCTCTGTTCACTCAGATATTCAATGAATAATATATAAAAGGAGGATAATGTATTTTAGTTGCGTTCGGTTTTCAGATTCTAATCCGCATATTGGTTCATTTAACCCGTAAAATTCGTGTATATGTATATAGGACTAATTATTACAATAATAACAGTCTTGTCTCACTATATAGAATTGAATACATGAATCAAATGATCCTATTATATTGAGCTATATTATGAATTATGTTTACAGAAAAATTGTTTACACAGAAATATCTCTGCAGGAATAACATGTAATTTTATTATTATATAGTCGCATATATACTTGCATGGATATCATGTTTATCACAATTTATGTAGATTTATGTGCTGGTTTATTTTTCTGAAAATTTGTAAAAAGGAAGCATATTAATCACATACATCATAATTAAGTAAAATTATTTGTACCGAAAAGAGATCTTATACAACTGCTTTTGTTTACATAAAGACATAAACTACATGTACATATCATATCTTTCATAAATCAATGGCTCTTTCACGAGTTGTGAGCACATGCTACTTAATTAGTGAGCATGTTGTAGATTTTGCCATTGAAAAACAGGACAAATTATTTGGGGCCAGTTGCAGTTATAGTAAGTTGATCATTATTGATGTACATCTATCGTTTATTTCCTTCCATTATTTTAAGTTCCATCCATGTTAATAAGCTGTATGTGTGACGAAAAAAACTTTTCCTGATTACATTTGCTCACTTGAAAAATACCATTCTATATATTCTATATATTAAAAAATACCATGTATACATTAAAATATATATATATATATATTCATTGTTTAATTGATTTTATCTATATTTAGCATAATTGTTATATATTCAATATCAATAATTCTATTTGCACACCAAAATTAGTCACCAGTGTATAATACGCATCAAAATACAAAATATATACTAAAAATAAGTTAAACTACACATGTATTTATATTTTTATGCGTATTATACACCAATTACATTTGGTGGCTGATTTTTGTGTACATCTAGCATAACCCATTAAATATATAATCACATGTTTTTAAATAACAACAATGACATTTTATAATTAAAAAATATAAAATATAAGACCTAATGACTTAATTAATGCTTTTCCTCTAAACTCTCTCTCAAACTCCATGAATCTCTGTTTCTCAGGAGTTTCTCTAGCACTCTAGTATTGCTCAATTGTTTATCCATAGCCATTTTTTCATCAAATACTGAAAACATATCTTTAGATTATAGAATTGTTTTTTCTCCGTAAAAATGAAAAAAACTTCTAAATGAAAGTATCAATGCTGGTTAGGATTAGAATTTAAAAAAACATGAAAATGAAAGAAGAAAATATGTATTGTTGATCCTATACATGAATTAGAGTATATAAGAAAATGATATTAATAATTGATTATAATAAAAAAAGATGAATAAAAAAAAACACTTCTCTTTACTTTAATAAGTGAAAGAGAGAAAATTTTTTATCGAACCAAGTTTATTCAATTTAATTATTTTTTATTTAATACAATAAAATTAATTTTTTATTTATATTCCTATAATTCTAACAGGTAACAATACCACACTAGCATTCACTGTTTTATCTAAAAGTATAATTAATCCTTAATATTAAAGTAGTTGAAAGCCTATAACTCTAGTGTCTTATCATCATCATCATAAACCTTGGTTAATTTGTTATTGTGACAAGACTACGTGAAGGGTTACTTTCCAAACAGCGAATGATCGAGTGCTTTTAAAAATTGTCATTTGGTTATAAAAAGAAATGATGTGGCACCCATTTATAGAACAACCTCACATAGTGATAAACTGATAATCAGTGAAATGAAAACACAAAAATCGTCGACAGCAGGATTCGAACCTGCGCAGGCAAAGCCCAACAGATTTCGAGTCTGTCTCCTTAACCACTCGGACATATCGACGATATCTATAATCGTGAGGTGGTAACATATTTAACAACAATAAGATTCTTAATCGTTGGACTTGGTCTTTCAGGTGATGACTTTGTGGGGTACGATAAAGTAACAACTTGGACTGGTCCCCCAACAAAGCACATGCCATCAAAATTGTCTAGATTCTGCTAGCCTAACTTTGGTTAGCTACATATTTGTTTAATCAAAATTATATGTGTACTTCAAATATTAATTAGAAATGTTGTATTTGTGTATAAATATATGTTTTTTTATATTTTATATTTTGACATATATTCTATATTAATAACTAATTTAGTAGATTTTTTATATTCACAATATTTCTCAATATATAACCAGTTAAGAACTAATTATATCCCCATAAAATTTCATTTAAGAATTTTTTTGTATACAACAGCCAAAACGGAGAAAAGAGTTCAAAAGTACGAGTTTTGGACTTTGGTCAATTACATGATCCCTTACATTGGTTCTCAAAAACCATAGTTAGTTTACAAGCTAGCTAAGGCTAAGACATTCTTATAGCTATTGAATTGAATCCTTATAAAAGTAACTTTATAGTTAGTTTACAAATTCCCTGCCAAAATAACCTTTTCAATAACAGAAAAACTTAAACCCACATTAATTTTGGATATATTCTGAGCTTTTATCAATGGTGCTCTCCATGGCCTTAATTAATTTAACAGTGAGAAGGACTACTGAGAGAGAACGCGATGTGGGGGAATTCATTTAGGCCACTAAAATATCGAGAGTATGTGTTTGTGGTGGGTGCACACATAAAGAGACTCTTCTTGCATTGCAGCTAACCAGATATTATTAATCTTCATTCATTTCTAATAAGGTTTCTTCAATAATTTTCTTCATAATTTTTA